CTCCAGCTACGAAACAATCCAATTGCTTTTTTGTTGTTGTTGTCCAAAAGAAAACCTCAGCTAACTCTAAAAAAAAAAAAAAAAAAGATAAATTCTGAAATGAAAACACTTTGACAAAATTGCAATCATTTGACATAAACTCTTTTATTGACTAATTCTTTTCCAATTTTATGACATATTAACATCTTTCAACAAGGTCATGTTGACATCATCCCAGTAGGAGTATTTGGATTTGGCCATAACCAGACTTCTTTCCTGTCCCCTCCCCAACCCCCTATTTGTGGAAAATAACCTTATCAGAGAAAATGGATGCTGACTTTGGACTGTGAACCAGGACCCAAGAAGGAGACTATAGTTTTATATGGATGGGAGGAATAATTGTTTATTAACAATTTATTACCCATCCCACTAGGATGCCTAAGAATCCCGTTTGTTTAATGATCCACAAAGTAGTCATTGCCAGTCTAGCTAGAAGCCTCTGTACTGAGATGACAAATGATACACATCCTACCTCCCCCACCCCAGATTTATTACCCATTAATCATGGCACCCCAGCCTAGAAGTGACCCTGCAAAACCTTCTCAACACAAACCTGGTAACTATGACTATTTCACCATTGTCATCCACTATGAAATCTATTTTCCATTCTTGTCTTAGCAGAGGGAAAAAACTACCAAAACCCAATCCAATCATTGGAAATAAAGCCAAGTATTGAGTGGGCGGAACTAGTCAGCTGATACAAGTAGGGTAAATGGCTTTATGATATTATCTACCAAATGTTTCTTAGATGAAAGATAAAACATTTAATGGGCTCTGAAAGCTAAATTGCATTACCCTTTCATTTCGATCTCTGTGATTGATGTTGAGAGGTCAGTGCTAGTGACCTGGTCAGTAAGTTGTTCCATCTGTAGACTTTGAGTTTAGATCCTAAGTCTAAACTGAGTCACCATTTTATCAAAACAGTCACCCTACTATGTGAACTGTACATCGCCTAATAATCCAGGTGCCTGCCTCAACTCAATCATCTGGCATTAGATAGATTCCAGCCTGGCATGATACTGCAAAAGACTAGGGATAAACTAGGAGATTCATCTGTTTCCCTAAGCCTCACAATCATTAGCCTCACATGAATATCATTGTTAAGTCAATATCTGTTATTCAGGTAAATGATACTTTGTGTATGAAATTACCAGTCTGGAACTTTTTTTTTTTTTTTTTTGGAGACGGAGTCTTGCTCTGTTGCCAGGCTGGAGCAAAGTGGCACAGTCTTGGCTAACTGCAATCTCCGCCTTCCAGATTCAAGCGATTCTTCCGCCTCAGCCTCCCAAGCAGCTGGGACTACCGGCGCGTGCCAAACGCCCAGCTACCTTTTGTAGGATGCTGAGATTGATTTAAAAAAAAAAATAACCTCAGCCTTAATAATGCCTATTGAACCAGAAATGGGGTTACCAGGCCACCATCTTGTGGACATTAAATCAGCACAAATAGATTTGGACTAGGGCAAACTTCACAACACCCAGGGTTTCCTTTAAAAATTGTTTTAACTACATTTGACCTCTCTAGTTGTTTTTGGCTTTTGGTTTTAGTCAATGTGTACTTTATCCACGGCTATATAGAACAGAGGAAAAATGCTCAAATTTATAGTTTCTTGATTAACAGGATGATTAGGTTGAGCATTTAATGAAATGTGGAATTGTCATATAAACTTATAATTTAAAGGTGAAAACCGTGTTGAACTTGATGTGTTGATTTCTGTTGATCATGATTTCAAATGACGTTATCATCTCTAAACTTTCTGCCTTATTATATCCTCTTTCCATATCAGAAAATTATTTGGTTTTAAGCAGTATATTTTCCAGTTTAAACTGTCTTACCAAAGAGCATGCTGAAAACACAAGAGTGTTTGTATCAGAAGTTTCAGTATCTTGAAATTGGAATGTAGAGTGATTCATGAGTTTTGCATCAATTATTAAACAGTCATAGATGACGATATGCAGAGATGGATGGGGCAGTAAAGTATTCCAGTTACACCTACTGGCTTAGCAATGATAAATGAGTCAGGAAACATGAAAGTTCAAAACAAGTATTAACTTGAGCTGCCATGGCATATTCTCTGAAGTGAAGTAGACAATGGCATGATATAAACAGGTTCATGTACAGAGCAGTTGGCTAGTAGAATTAAAATAAAGATAAGGTCTTCGCAAGAGGACTAAGGAATTTCAGAATCCTGCCATGCAAATAACCCTTTCTCTTACAAGGTTCTTGAGGGAGACATAGCATTGAAGAACGATAACACTTGGAAGACAAAGAAAGTATTTTTATTACCTGGGACAATGCCTAATATTCCAAAATGCAGAATTCTAATAATACTGGCTTAAATCATGTGACTTTAACTTGCACTTGAATCCTGCCTTGTTTTGACTTGCATGGATCTTAAAGTGAAAATAAAGATACTTTCAGAGTCTAGGAAGAAGGACAATATATGTGTCATCCCCTGGGAAAGCAAATGTTATTGCCCTTGAAGTGACATCTTGGCAACTGAGCCAAGAGCTCACATTGGGAAAAGCTACTCGTCTCTCTTCTGATACCCAGCTTCACCAAAAGGAAAGGCCCATCTTTAGTTCTCTTTGTAAGGGCCTTGCAGCCCATCCAGAACTCTAGTGTTCTGCATTAATCACTGCCCAGTGAAAGGGCATAGACTGCATGTAAGCACAACCTTAGAACGGAGCTCTAAGACAAGAGCTGGGCATTGTAAACCTCAGGCCTGGCTCCCACCGACCTCTCATTATTTCCTAATACTCTTTCTTTATGAGAAATGTTTGTGTTTGAGCAGTTCAAGAGCCTTGAACTGGACCAGCCTTTGTACTAGACCAAAGACCAAAAGTGAAAAGCAATAGCCATTCCCACTTTAGGCTCTACCCAAATTGGGAAGTCCCATGAAGAACCCTTTGCTAACCACTCATTGAAAAGCCAGAAGCATGGTTAATGTTAGAAGCATAACTTGGCACTGGTACTTTTCAAGCAGGGCAATCTGAGGCAACTGCAAATGTTAAGTAGATGCCTTCTCTCTTCTAAGCATGAGAGTAGTTTGCTAAGATGGGCAAATGGTAACAAAGGAAAGTGGTCAAATAACTCACTTGAGGTGTCTGGCTTTCTCACTGACTGGACTTCCTTCTCAATTCATGGGCATTGGTTACATAAATGAAACTTCCAAACTTATATCTGGAACTTAGTAACCATATTGCTTATTTTGTGTTTCCTTAAGGTAGCATTCATTGGAGGAGTCTTCTTGAAAAAATGAACTAGATTTCCAGTTAAGAGCATCAGTAATGGAACGGGATAGTCTATTCCAAATGAAGACTCTATAGACTAGAAGTCATAAACTGATGATCCACAAACTATATTCGGCCCACAGATAGATGATTAATTTGTTCATTCTCATGGCAATGAAAAAAATACTCGCCAATATATAAACTTTAAGAGATTTTTGCATAAAAGTCTGATTTCCGACTTCCTATGTATATTTTAAAAATTAGAACATCAGGCAATACATGCAATATTTCATGCCCCCAATCAGCTTAAGCTGAATAGCCACTTTCCCCTTTAAAGGAGACATAGTCTTTCTAGTTGACCTGCTTTACTTCATCTATGTTACTTCGTGGCCCTGTAGGGCTTTGAATTTGCTATCTATGAGGTCAGTTATCTAAGAAACCAAACAAGAAATTGAGAATTGTTCTTTTAAATATGTCTAGCTTGAAAGTGACCTAGGTTTATGCCTTATTTTTATTAACTTCTATGCAAAGAATGACCATGAGGAGCATTTTCATACATGGAAAAGGACAGTTATATGTGAAGTGGAGAATTTTACACTACGTACCTGAACAAATCAGGCATAGAAAGAAAATCCTGAAATGATGATATAAAAGTAATATTCGAGGTCGGAATTACTCAGGGGTAATTGCCTTAGTTTTCCACCTCACTGTTTCCCCTTTGCTTTTCTTACATAGACATTATCTCCAGAATGTTCCTGTCAAAGGCCATAGTCATAATTCCCCTGCTTCTTTTTTTTTTTTATTTTAACTCATTTGTACTCTTAGTAGCAATTGTTGGAGCCCTGCAGGGGAATAATTGTGGGGGAATTAACCTCTGACATTTTTCTAAAAATAGCCCTAATAAATCCAATCATAGGTAATTTACCTGTCCATGTTCCTCTGGGGGTAACCAGCATGGAAAAAAGACTTGGCAGGCTGGCATTCCTTCGGCAATTATCTGTGATCTGAGTTCCTGGTGCCTGTACATTTTCTCCGATTAGAAATACAGAGTACAAATTGCCCTCACTTTTCTGCCCTTACGACCTTGTTTTCTCAGTGCCATTCTCCCAGGGTTGAAATAAGCCATGCTCTTCCAAAAGGATGTGTTGCACTCACAAGAAAAGGAGGGACATGGGTCAAGCTGGAGCATTCCTCAGTTCCTTCCTTGAATTCGTGCCTGGCAGAGTTTTCCCAATGATCTCTTTGTGCTCTCTTCCTCCATTTTCCATGTCTGAGCTTCAAGTATCCTCGCCTCGCTTCATCACAGCCCCCAGCCCTGATGTGAACAGCCACAACTGCAACCTGTGTGGGGAAGATTCTTGGCATGGTGTAAAGGCCATGGGTGCACAGTGTTTGTGGTTGGTAGAAATTATCAAAGAAAATCGCCATTTCCATCAGCCATCATGAAGCTAGTTTTCTCTTACTTTAAACAAAAGGGTCTAAATGCGCTTTTCCCTTTTATTCTCTCCAGATGTTTCGGGAGACTACAGTGCAGTGTGGGCATCTAGGAAATTTATTTCCCAAGTGCCACTTCTGGTGGCATTTAAAACCTAGAACATAACATCCTTGTAAATTCCACTGCAGAGACAAAGCCCTAAGCCCTTAAATGCACAGAAAAGTATGTCTATTATCTGTCCTTTCAAAGTAAGTGTGCAGTTACTTAAATTGCCTTTGTCTTCTTCTTTGCAGCTGACATTATCTCTACGGTAGAATTCAACCACACAGGAGAATTACTAGCGACAGGGGACAAGGGGGGTCGGGTTGTAATATTTCAACGAGAGCAGGAGGTAAGTGGTGGTGAATGCAAAATGCCCATTTCTTCTCTTTTTAAAGGAGGCCTCCTACTGTTCCTTAATCCTTATGTGTCTCCCTTAACCCTGCTACTTCGCTTGAAAACTAAAAACTGCCTAAAAGTCATTAACATCAACATTGAGACTCATAAAATCCCCATTAAAGAGAGCCTTTTCTGGGCATTGCCTTATCTTTCTAAGCCTGGATGTTACACCTTCAAAACAACTTCACTTCTCACGTGGGTGCTTGTTGAGCGTAACTCCACCTTTTTCAGTGGGATCTGTCATAGAGCCATTGAAATTCAGTCTCCCTTCATTTCAGGTCCTGCCAGAATACATAGGAGGAAAAAAACATAGTTTGTTTCCCAACAGATGTGAAGAGGACAACTTGGGTCAGGAGAGAAGAAAATGATAGCTCGCCTCACCAAAGGGAGTAAAAGGCCACAAACTGGCATTTGAGTAAAGCATATGATACACATCACTGTGTCACTACAGGTGACACAAAGGGCCCTGGAGCTGAGTGCTACATATAGGATCATTTCTGAGCAAGAGTTCTAACTTCCAGTGACTCTCATAAGCTCATTTCTTCCTGAGACATGAGTTCCACTAGGAATTGTTTCCCTTTTTCATATAAATTGAGTTTTTTGGTGTCTGCTTCTGTTTGACAGCATGGAATTATGGCCCAATTTGATTTCCTTGGCCTCCACTGGCATGGTCTTGGAGCTTCCAGCAGGCCAGTCTGTGTTCTAGTAACTCCCCCATCTGCCACTGCTTGCCTCTGAGATTCACCGGGCACTCGGGAAGCATGAGGGAGGCCCAGTGTGAGAGAAAGGTTTCACAAGAGACTTCCCTAGCAATTTAAAGCCTGCTTTGTGCCTCAAAGCCATTTGCGTTACGCCTCCCCTCAAAAAAGGAAAGCCTCATTTAGAGGTGATATATTTGGTAATTGCACATTATTTGCAATTAATTTCTATAAGGGCATCGTAATCCCTCGGGATTCTGTATAAATTCAAGTGTTCAGTATTAAATCAGGCATCCAGCCTATTCCATTGGCCCTGGAAACATGAAAATGTGGTTGGCAAGTAGAAACTAATAGCTCTTCGTGACCTGGAATTTTTCCTGCTTTTCCAGAGCTGCCTAGTGCTAATTGGTCTGGCACATACTACACACACTTGACAGTCTGATTTGGATGGTAGCAAATCAACACTGTTATAAATTTATTGTTAAGGTGGACTGGCTCTCTCTGCAAATAAGCAGGAAAGTACCAAGTATGTCAGGATTTAAAGTCTTTTGAACATTGATTTTCAAACCTCCTTTTCTAGCTTTTCCTTAAAAAAAAAAAAAAAACCCAATTAGGTTCGCAGTGATGATAAAGAGGAACCAGAGGAGCTATTTAGCATAAATTACCCAAGGCAGCATGTTGCCAGTAATATTCTGCTCTACATTTTCCATTAGCTATTTATAGGTTTCACCTATTTTAATTTAGTGATCTATTTGGGAAGTCTGATTCATTCGTAGAATGATGGGGGATACATTTTCTAAAGCAGGGTAGTTTTGTTCAATAAAAAATAAATATCAGTGAGGATAAAGAACCTGCAGTTAACACTTGTTAAGCTTTGTGGCCAGTCTTAGGATTAAAATGAGCACTAAATCTGAGAAACATACCCATGTGACATCATCTAAGGGAGACCTGCTGTTGACTTCGGTGGGTGAACTCCAGGAGTGAATTCTCAGGAGGCACACACCCAGAGAGTCCACACAAACACATTTCACACCCAGGGTTCAGCACTATCACCAGTTCGTAAGCTGAGATTTGGGTTTGGATGTTTTATATCCACGTAGGAATATACATTTGAAAATTAAGCCTTTTATTAAGAGTCAGGCTTTTATAACAAATATTTCTTAAGACTCCGATTTGAATTTTTGAACAGTTTTTCAAAGCCTGCATCTTGAAGCTCTTGGTAAGAAGGATCTAAAATACCTGAAATAAAACCTCCCTTTTCGTTTTCCTCTTCTCCTTTCTTTCATATCCTGTTTTTTCTCCTCTCTCCTTTTCTTTTCTTCCCCTTTCTGCAGACCCTTGCCCTTGTGCTTAATTTTCTCATCATGTATGTAGTCCCTGCTGTTTGCTCACTGTATAATCAGTGCTAGAGGAAAGCCAAGAGGTAAAGTCTCATCATTGCTTAATGATGCAGGTAGCATCCCTGAGCTACTATCTGCTTTGTCACTCATATGGGAAAAAAAAAAGGAGCAGGGGCATATCTGATGCCCAAATCGGCTCCTTATGAGCTGTGAGACCTTGGGGAAGTCATTTAATATCTGAACCTCTTTCATCTATTTCCTTGTCCCACCTACTTTAGAGATTTCAGGAGAATCAGGTGAGATCTTAAAAGGCGAATGAAAGTCGCAGATGCTACAACTTTGAACTCTCTGTAAGGGGTCAATATAAATATTTATGAATGCCACTGTGGGATGGCTCACTCTGGAGGGTGACTGCAGCATCTGTTAGGGTGCAAATAGAAATTCTATTTATATTGATTTAAAAATTTTGTTCTATTTTAATATATTCCTATGTATATATTATATATGCTATATGATAGTACAGAAGTTCATGTGTATAATTTTATATATGTATACATAGTATATATATATTTATATGTGTATATATTATATATGCATGTATATATTTTATATATAAATGTGTATATATATTTCATATATGTGTGCGTGTGTGTGTGTGTGTGTATGTGCGTGTGTGTGTGTGTGTGTATTTCAGAGGTGCCAGTGACTATCATGGCCCTTCCCTCATCCCACCCCTAATGACTAGGCTGGGAAAAAAGGGAGTTGGTGAGTTTTGCAGTTGGCCAGCATGATTTAATCTTTTGTGTATTTTTTTCCTTTCCTACAGAGTAAAAATCAGATTCATCGTAGGGGTGAATACAATGTTTACAGCACATTCCAGAGCCATGAACCCGAGTTCGATTACCTGAAGAGTTTAGAAATAGAAGAAAAAATCAATAAAATAAGATGGCTCCCCCAGCAGAATGCAGCTTACTTTCTTCTGTCTACTAATGGTAGGTGGAAGTGACTTTTCCTGTTTGGTATTTTCAGAGATGCAGTCAGCCAAACTATATATTTCAATCTCTCTTAGCCTCAGTTTTCCTTTGAACCGTGCAGGTTGTTGAAAAACTTAGAAACTAACATTTACAAGATGCTTAGCAGTGTGCCTGGCACACACAGATTAGGCCCTGACTAAATAGTAACTATTGTTTTTAAAAATATCAAATTTATGGCCCAATTATGTGAGGCCCATTATCTGCAGTTTTCAACTATTGCAGATTATTTGCAGGTGTTTTAGGAATGCAACTTCCTGTCTTAAGATTCACTGAATGTTATTCTGGGAATACATTTCAGGATACTCAACATGCTGTCTCTGTGAGGTTGGCATATTGAATAGAAGTTATTAATCCCTGAATATATTTTAGAGTCTGTAAAGCAGATGGCTGTGTGTCTCTCTGACAAAAATTAAGCTGTAAGATAGGAACACAAGTCAAAAAGAAATAGGACATTTATCAAAAAACTGATCAAGAAAGGGTTATCTTCCCTATCTCCCTCCACACTTATACCCTTTGTTGGATGAGAAGGAGTTGATATAAATAGGTCAGAGAGAGAAAATGTTGGATATTGAATACAGAGACAAATTACATAATCACTGGGTAAGTCTTTATATATGGGAATTACCTAACCTCTAGGTTCTTAAATCCTTGCTAAAAGAAGCCATCTCAGCTCAAAACAACTTGGCATAAAGTCATATGTTAAAGGGTGCTAATTGAATAGCATAACAATTAAGAGGATTCGTATTTAAAAATTAAACACCCTTTCCCAAGAAAACGAGCTGGAGAATGATTCATTTTATCTTGTGAGTCTATGAGGAATATACATTTTAATTTAAATTGAGAAGGAAGAAGCAAGATATTTAAAAAGAGAAATGTTCATATTTTCAGTGAAAAAATACAGTGTAAATGATGTGATCAAACATACATGAATATTTTTAAAGATTGGAAGGAAATACACCGTAAGGTTCACCATGATTAATTTTTGTACAGTATGGGTAACCTGTAAATTTGTTCCTTTTATCATTATAACTTGTAAAGTTTTTACAATGAGTCTTATATTAATCTTATGGAAAAAAGGCGGAAGTTATTTAATGCATTTGAACCCCAAATCTCTCAAATATAAAGCCACTGTAGAAGTCTAAAAAACGACAATTCAGAAGCAGCTGGTTTAGGGTTAGCCAAGCATATCCCATCTCCTCATGACCAGATCTCTCCTCGTCTGTTTTTCCAGGCTCCAAGTAGTTTGATTCTTTCTCAGAACTATATTTATTGTTCTGTCTACATTTTGCAATCGGATTTCTTGGAAGCCAAACCACGTATTTTAATTTTACTATTTAAGTTTACTATTTAATCTTTTAATTTTACTATTTAAGTTTCATTAACAGGCTTTGCAGATTCAACACTACTCAGAATAAAAGAGACTTCTGATAATTGTGACTTAATTACTTCAGGCAGAGGAAACATGTCTAATTGTCTTCTGTAGCTAACTAACCTTATATTATGAAATTCAGCCTATTGATTATTGCAGTGAAACTCAAGGACTTACTAACTACTTTGTTGGGGGAGATGGGAAAGAAATCAGTGAAATGCAATGAAGATTAATTATATAGCATAATATTCTGTTAATTGAGTTTTTAAATAGTTTTTTGATTAACAAAGATATTATCTTCCCATTTGGGATACCATTTCATATGCCAACAGCATCTCAAAATGATTCTTCTAAGAAAAATTCCCATGTTCTTATGTAATTTTCTTTTTTATACTAATATTGAGGTTGAGAATCCCCCTTAGGCCAAATAGGTTAACACGCAAAAATTAATGGAAGACAATTGAAATTACTGTACAAAAGAGAAAATGAAGATAGATGATAAGATTGTGTTTAAAAGCTGCCACAAGTGATGATAAGCTACTCAGAGAACCAGTAAGAAGAAAGAAAAAGTCATTACTCATATTAACAGCCACATGTTCCTTCGACTCTTTTATTCACAAAGCTTCAAGACACTGAGTCAAGAAAAATAGTGTGATAATAAAGTCAAGAATGACTCCAGGCAACCCAACCATAGGGAATTGGATTGAATTCACCATCAATTATCTTTAAGAAAATGCAGTGCTTATCTTATTATAGTGGGGAACAGTTTTTACTTTCTGCTAGAATATATTTTCAACCTTACAATTTTAATAAAAAATAAAACCAACATTCTATGGTGAATCTAGACTCTCAAATTATTTACCACATGAAAACACATTGTTTTACCTCATTTTCTACTTCCACTTTAATACCTACAATGAGAAGGGGAGGTATACTGAATTTGTTTTTCTTGCTATGAAATTAGTACACGTTCATCGTAAAAAAAAAAAAAAAATACAGAAAAACATAGATAATAAAAGTGTTCCCATCCAGAGAGAACTACTGTTAATGTTTTTTAAAGAAAAAAGCAAAAAGGCATGAATAAATCTGTTTCTTTCTTAACAGAAATAGGATATATTCTGCAAACTCTTTTGTAACTAGATTTTTATTAACATAACATTTAATAATATGAATATCTTCCCAATTGCTAAATATTCTAAAATACCGTAATGACCACATAGTATTCCTTGTATGATTCTTCTGTGCTTTACTAGTAAGCCTCCTACTATTAGTCCTTTAGCTGTTAACAAATTCTCACTATTATAAATCATATATACTATAATGTTATAGTATACATAACATATTCTATCTCTATAAATACATTTGCAGGGATATATGTTGGTATAAATAAATATGACTAGGCAAATGCATACTATAAACTAAGTATGCCATATTATACTTACTAAAAACAATTATATAATTGTATACATCAACATAAAAAAGAATCACAAAATTTTATAATAGTTATCTCTATGTAGTGGAATTAAGGGAGGTTTTCTTTACCTTTATGATTATTTTAATAACCATTCTGTGTGCCATTTGTATAATAAAAAGAAGGAAATAAAATGAGAAAATAACAAATCTATATATGCAATATTATAGATTTGTATTCTCCCCCAAAAGTACACAGAGAAAGTACTATAATGATTTATGCAAAATATTGATGACGATCATCCCTGACTAGAGAGGTTGTAGGTGATTTTTATTCTTTATGTTGTACCCATGGTTTCTCTGTTTCTCTGTATAGCAATTTATCATTCATGATAAGAAAAATATACAGTGTTAGCTTTGCAAATGGGATAGGATGCATTCCAAACCCAAGCAACGAAAAGTATTTGGTATTAAGATTTACTGACTCTTGGGATGCTCTAAGCCACAACTGATGAAGATCTAATCACATGACTGTATAAATATGGCCCATGCTCATTTTCTCACCCTAAAAAGCAGTTCAGTATGCAGCAGGATCTCCTTTTGCTCCAGCACAAGCCAGGGTGACTGCACAATTCAGAGCACACAAATCATACACTTAGCAGCCTTGCCAGTGTGTCAGACATGAGCAGCCCGAGTGATGCCCAGATACGAGAAAACTGGGCACTTATTTGCTGCTGAAAGCCCACTTCACAATGTGGTATATTAAGACCTCTAAGAATAAGGCATTTGTTTCTGGCAGCTTCAAGGCAAATGGAACTGTGATCCACATATCCTGCTTTGAAGATCTGTCCCCCTGAAGGCATGAGAATTGAGAGGTGATGGCAGGAAGTCAGGTGAGGAGAAGTGGAGGAGTGAAGCAAGGGGCAAAAAAGGAAGGAAATCCCAGAGGGACAGCTTTTCTCCCCTGACAGTGTTTACAGAGAAGAAATAGTATGTGCTGACATCATCAAGGGATGAAGCTAAAGCTGTCAGAGCAACATGTTATTATGGCAGAATAGTTGCCCAATTTGCTAATTCTGATAAAAGCTGTCATTTGTGGACCATTATTAGAAGCCTCACACTGTGTTAAACACTCTACATGCTGTGATTTATTTAATCCTCATAACAGCCCCATGAGAAAGACACTATTTCCCCAGTTTACAAATAAAGAAACTGAGGCACAAAGAAACCATCTTTCTTTGTAAGAATGAACTATGTAGGATATACTCATACTAAAAAAATTATTTTTTGCTTATCTGAAGTTCAAACTTAACTGGGTGTTCTGTACTTTTTTCTTGCTAAATCTGGCAGTCCTGTTTGTTGCTTAAGAAATACTAGTTATGGTCGGTTGTGATGGCTCATGCCTGTAATCCCACCACTTTGGGAGGCAAAGATGGGCAGATTGATTAAGGCTGGGATTTCGAGACTACCCTGGGCATCATGACAAAACTTGTCTCTACAAAAAAAAATAATCACTGGGTGTGATGGTGTGTGCCTGTGGTCCTGGCTACTCTGGAGGCTGAGATGAGTCACCTGAGTCCAGCAAGTTGAGGCTGCAGTGAGCCGTGACCATGCCACTGTACTGTACTCCAACCTCGGTGACAGAGTGAGACCCTATCTCAGAAAAAAAAAAAAAAAAGGAAGAAGAGAGGGAGGGAAGAAAGGAGAGAAGAAGGGAAGGAAGAAGGGAATGAAGGAAGAAATGAAGGAAGGAAAAAAGGGAGAGAAGGATAGATGGACGGACAAACGGACAGGCTAGTTATGTACTTACTGTGTGGGAACCCCTGTCTTTGTCCATGTGGCTGTTGTCAGAGTGGGGATTAGGCTCAAGGTTGTCTGATTCCAAAGCCTAGCTTGTGCAGGATAGAGGAAAATACAAAGAAGGCAACGAAGTTTCTGCCTTCCAAAAGGTATGTTAAAATAAGTATTAAAAAATGTACATTGGACCTGTTAAGGAAAGCCCACCAAGGCATGTGGCCGGCAGACATGATTCGTTTGGCCTGAACATGTCCCTTTAAAAAATGGAATTAAAAGCCTGCATGTGAGGCAGGCCATTCCAGCTTCACAGATCCTTTAGCCCTTTTTACTGATTTCTTTGGCCTGCATGACCCCTGTAGAGATGGGAGTGCTCATGGGAGTTCTGTAGAGATGAGGGTTCTCTGTTTCAATGCTATGGAGAATGGCCGGTGTCATCAAGTCGTATAAAGTGCTGGGGCAGTACAAAAGTAAGAAAGATAGTTTCCAGCTGGAGACTCCATAGAGGCGCAAAAGGAAAGGAGCATTTTGATGTATCTCCTTACTGTTTTATTTTCCTAAATATTGCTAGAAATATGCACTGTGTAAGTAAATGAGATTTGTTCATTTGCCCTACTAATGTTTATTGAGCAGCTACTATGTGTCAGGCACTGTATTGGGTGCTGGTGGTACAGTGATAAACAGAGTCTCTACCTTCAACAATGTTATACTCTAATGAGAGAGACAGATCGTTATTTGATAAATAATCAACCAATTGTCAGGTAGTAAAAAGTATGATGAAGAAAAATAAAGCAGGAGAGAGGAGATAAAGAAAGGTTCTGAAGACAGCATTTTTAGGTAGGTTTTACATAAGCCTCTCTAAGGTTGGGATGCAAACAGCAAGAGCAAAGTGAAGGAGCAAATTACATAAAAAAGATGGTAAAGGGCTTTCCTGGCAGAAGACATAGCAAGTGCAAAGGCCCCGAGGCCAGAGTGAGCTTAATGTGTACCAGGAGTGGCAGGGAAGCCATGTGGCAGGACCACAGTGAGTGAGCAGGGAGAGGGTGGACAGGGAGATCAGAAAGTTGGAGAAAGTGGAGAGGGCAGGTCATCAAGAGCTTTTTAGGACATGGTGAGGACAATGTGTCAGTGAGGTGGGATGCTAAAAGAGATAATTAACAGCACGTACCTCCAGAGTCATGATTATTAAACCAATTTTTCATGTAAAATGCTTAGTTACATTGTAAGCTCTGTGTATGTCACTTCTCTTATTCAATGTTCTATAAATGCTTCTATTGAATGAGCTAAATTAAAGTATAAGCTATAGATTTAAGAGCCCATTGTTGGGGAAAAACATTTGTCTCGGTATATGTTTTTGTTTTGAAATATTTTGTTTTGAAGTGTTCAATAAATGCTTTTATTGAATGAGCTAAATTAATCTATAAGCTATAGATTGGAGAGCCCATTGTCAGGGAAAACCATTTGTCCCAGTATAATATATGTTTTTGTTTTGAAATATGAGCTCTGCCTTCAAATGACATGGGAATTATGCACAGCAGCCCTTTACCTGAGCCAGCTTCTGTAGCAATTCTCTCCATACTTACCTCTTCCTCTCCTAACTGCCCCCAGGAAAACTCCTTTAGAAGCTTGCTTTTCACTGTAATTCTGATTTGATCTGGTTGCCCACTACAGATAAAACTGTGAAGCTGTGGAAAGTCAGCGAGCGTGATAAGAGGCCAGAAGGCTACAATCTGAAAGATGAGGAGGGCCGGCTCCGGGATCCTGCCACCATCACAACCCTGCGGGTGAGTGCACGTGGCTGTGCTGGCCACCACAATCAGGGGCAGGTCTCCTAAGGTTGGCCATGTGCTGATTGTTACTGTAGGTTGCAACTGTAATGGACCGGTGAGGTAGAGGTCTCTGCCAATAGGCAGAGACCCAGCCTACCCCAGTCTCTCTCTGGTGGCAGATGGAGGAGCAGGAAAGGTGCCAAGCCCTCTAATGACTACAAATCCATGTTTGTCCCAGAAGACTTGCCCACATGGCCACTGCCAGACGTTACTATAATCTTAGCCTCTGTTGTTCACATTATCTAAAATGTCTTGAGCACTTCTGTACTCAAGGTACGGGAATGAGAACCTAGATGGCAAGTTGCAGTCTTGTGATTCAGAACACAAACTGAATTATCTGACAGACCTGGCTTCAAATGCTACCACTTACCCAAATGTTCCACTAGTCACTTAACCTTTTTGAGCTTTCAACATGCAGGTTATTTTTAGTTTCTCCATCTGCAAAACGGCGAACATAGTACCTACTGTTTATGGACTTACGAGCAAGAAATGCAAAAAGATAGAAAACGCTTCCTCTATGGCTGGTCCTCAATATATGGTCTCCACTCTTAGTCTGAGTAGCTTCCCTCCTGCTCTTCAGAAACACATAGTCTGATAAAGAAAGAGGATTTGTAAGGCTAATATGGAAATGATTATGGCATTAAACATAGTAAGAGAAATGCACTGTGTTGGAGAATTGCAGTTTGATTAAAGGAGGAAGAAATTACCTGTAGTTGTTGGAGACCAGAAAAATTCTTATAGGGAAGTGGCATTAAAAATGGATTTCTCAAGGTGAACTTTCAAGGGAAGGGTCTATAGATGTCAAGTAAAGTGGTTTAGGACTGGATGATGAGTTTTGTTTTGAACACGTTCAATGTGAGCAGTAAAGCAGCCTCATGTTGATATAGCCGTAGCCCCAAAGGACTTGTAAAACTGTGTAAAATATGTGATTTCAGACACCAGCTGCTCTACCTACTAAAGACCAAAAAGTAAGAAGGGAGACAGTGAAGTAGGAAAAGAGGTTATTGCCCTATGTTTGAAAGCTAAAATGAGATAGTCATTGTATGTTTGATTAGCTCACTTGTTTATTTGTTCAATAATTCATTTATGGATACACCTGCTTATTCAGCAGTTGCTTTTTGAATATACACTCTTTGACGACCACTGTGCTAGACTATTAGGCATTTACCCTGTACTAATGGGCACATGGTCTTTAGCTGAGCTGCTTCTGAGCCAACAAGCATTGGTGATGCTGTTTCCTTCATCAGCCTATACCTTCAACTCTGGAGAACCTCCAGGCAAGTCCACCTTATCAGACTGGGTGGAAGTGGCAACAGCCTTGAAGCTCTGAATGTGCAGGGGGTTTGGAGGCTGGAAAATAGAGTAGTGAAGAGTATTAACATTGAGTCAGTCCAGGCTGGGTTAGAATTCTGGCTCCGTTACTTTCCACTGGTGACCTTGGACATATCACAGTCGTGTATCACTTAATGATGGGAATATATTCTGAGAAATGCATCGTTGGGTGACTTCATTATTGTGAAAACATCATAGAGAATACTTATGCAAACCTAGATGGTATAGCCTGCTATGCACCCAGACTACATGGCATAGCCCGTTGCTCCTAGGCTATGCAATTGTAGGGCCTGTTCCCATATTGAACACTGTAGCCAATTATAACACAGTGGTAAGTATTTTTGTATATAAACATATCTAAACATAGAAAAGGGACAGTACAAATACAGTATTATAATCTTATGGAACCAATGTTATTGACCAAAACATCATGTGGCATGTGGCTATATTTGAACACCTTGTGCCTCCAATGTCTCATCTGTATAAAGGGGGTGATGACAGTCGCTGCTTCCTGGAATTGTTGTGAGGATTCAGTATGATATTTTGTGTAAGAAAGAGCTCAGCTTGTGTAGTGGTGGCTCACAGGAAGCACTCAATAATGTTAGTTCCGTGCTGTTGTTTTAGTATTAATATCATCATCATCATCATCATTGCTATTATTACCCCCTACTAATAGTAGGCCTATTTATAAGACAATTCATGTTACTTTTCTTTTTTATACTTTTTGTACTGTTATATTTATTCTACAAACTACTCACTGATATTTACTAAGTGGCAAACACTGTCCTGGCAATATGACAGGAATAAGACTGTCTTTTGCCCCTCGAGACATGACAATCTTGGGAAAACAGCTGGATTAGGTGCCACTTAGAGTTTATACCATGAACTTCTGCCCAGGCTATACATTGCCCTTGTTTGCTATGTGGGTGGAATTTCTCAAAGGCCATCTGTAGACCCCACTGTGGAATCCTACCGTCTATGGCATACTGTGGGATTTCATATATCTGTGCTTAACCCCTGGGAAAATTCCATCCCTATGATAAAGAGGAGAGAAGGCCTATTTCAGTTTCCACGAGAGCAGAGATCCTCCCCATGCTAAGCCAGTGAGGCCAATAAAGTGGACTTCAGATGAAACAGAGAAGGAGGCCCTGTGGTGTGGCTGGGAGTTGGAAAATTCCAATTCTGGTTCCTGCTTTCTTACTAACCAGCTGTGTGACCCAGCTGATGAATCCCATTTCTTCCCTCCAAGCTTGGTTTCTACGCTGCCAAGCAGAGGACTAGGAAATGCAGATTCCCGAGACCCATCCCCAGAGAGGAGACCCAGAGGAATCTGCATTTACAGCACTTGCCCCTGGTGGCTGAGACAAGGGGTTCTGTGGTCACTGGACTCTGACATCCCTAAGGCCCACTGGAGCAATCACTTTTAGGAACCTCTGTTATTTTTCCACTATTTGAAAATTTTCAATTCTCAAATAATTTGGAGAGACATGTTATATTTGCTGTATAATTATAAATACCTGTATCTGTATTTGCCTCCTCTTCTCTCCTAGTCTTTCAAATATCCTGCATTTCAGTGTAAACATCCACACCACAGCACTCTTTAAATGTAAACAATGAAAAGTCCAGCTTCCTTTTCTTTTTGATCCCAGTGCTAGAAGAAAAAAACAAAAAAAAAAGAAGCAGGCAACCCTGAAGACTAGATTCAGAACAATGACTCCAAAAAGAGAATGAGCTGATGTGATATGAATCAGATTATAATTTACTAACATGTTCTGCTCTTGAAATATGCATTGCCAGCAACTGTGTCTTTTTTTTTTTCTTCCCTGTGCTATGATTACCTCTTGCTCACTTTCATAGTTTCCGGTTCTATGTGGGTATTGAGAGTGAGAACATTTAATAATATTCTACAGCTAATTAATCCTTCCTGTGTGATGAACCTGTTCTGTTTCAGTGCTGAGAGGCTCAGCTTTTCAAAGCAAGAATGTGACTTTATCTTTCATAGAAGATAACCTTTCAAAATCAATCTTGTTACCAAAGGAGCCTATGAGAAACATGTCTATAAAAACTATATCCCCTGCTCAAAATCATAACTTAATATAATGCAATAATCATGGTGATAATTTAATAATAACACCTTACAGTTGTAAAGTACCATTTATATTACAAAGCGTTTTCTTACCTAGTCCCTTGATTCTTCTTCAGAATAGCCAATGAGGAGAGCAGGATAGGTATTTAGCAGGTGAAAATGCTGGTATCTAGCATTCATTGATCATTTGCCATATCCCATGCACCATGCTGCACTCTATCTGTATTAGCTACCTCAAAAGGTGCAGTTCACTGTTAAAATGCCCATTTAACAGATGAGGCTCCAAGCAGTTAAGTAACATACCCAAGATCATGCCGGCCTAAGAACCAAGCCTTGATCTACTTTTCTCTGGGGCCTGAGCCCTTTAACATGATGAGGACTCAGAGAGGGGAAATGACTTACCCAGTATCACTCAATTGGTTATTTCAGGACTGGGACTAAAAATCAAGAATTAAGGCTCTTAAACTTAGACACATATATTTGGGCATTTGAGATGATTGTCTTAATAATTAGTGCCATTATTATTCCAGGTCAGGGGATCTCTCTCTCTCTCCCTCTACTCTCCCTATCCCTCTCTTCACCCCTCTCTCGCTGTCCCTCCAACCTCCCTACTCCCCCCTACCACTGCCCCCCACACCCCCACACACACTTACACATTGAGTTTCCAGATCTCTCACCTCAGCAATGGAGAAACGAAGACCATGAGGTCTCTATGCAGTTCTACTTCACATGACCCTCCACACCCCTCTTTCCCAACCTCCCACTGCCCAGGAGTAACAGGCCCTCAGAGCCCTTTTTAGGTAATGGGAACTCACCGTTAAAGTGACTTAATCAGCCTGAAATGGAAGCTGGGTGGTGAGAAATCACACTTAGCATACTTCTTCCTGCAGGATGAGCCTGGAGATATTATTTTCCTCATTATCATTAGCTGCCAGTGCCCTGGAAACCTAGGTTTGGTTGAAATCGGCATTTTTACCTGTTATAAATATAGAGTCTAGAAGGTATGAACTCCCAAGCTGTGACTTGTCATAATCTGCCCAAAATGAAGGTAGTGTGATGAATTCCATTTTTCTAATGGATTTTATTCAAACATGCCTTACAACAAATAAAAACAATTATAGCCACCATCTATTGAGTGCTTACTATGTGCCAGGTGCTAGATTTTATATCCTTAATATTATACAATCCTCATAATAACTCTCTCTGGTATGTTCTGTTATTCTCTCCAGAGCATCTGAAGCTGTAGCCTCCCCTTGGTTTCAGTCTCTGCTCAAGTGCTACCTATCAGAAAGGTCCTCCTATGGAAAAGAGCACACCCACATTTTCCCATTCATTCTCTCTGCCCTTTTTTGCTTAGCTCTTGCATTGCCTAGCGTTGTCTCTGCTGTCTGCCTCCTCTCCACCCCCAGTAAAATGTAAGCTTCACAAAAGCAGGGACTCAGTTTTGTTCTCTCCCGTAGCTCCAGCACCTGGAACAATGCACAGCACATGGTAGGCCCTCAGTAAATATCTGTCAAGTGAACGGATTACACAGAAA